TCGATCCGGGGCGTCCCAAGGAGCCCCCCGCGCCTCGTGAGCTGCATGACTACCGCGTAGTCCAACCCGCGCGTTGACTTGATGGGGTCATGGGAGTTAGGGCAGTCGCAAGCCTTCCGCGAGCAGCCCATGTGCGCGGTGGCCCCCCAGCAGATAGGGACGTTGTCCTTGTTGCGGGGCGCGTGCGCCACGGAGCGCGTACGCTCCTGGCGCGTTAACTCCTTGCCCGCTGGGTACGCCCTCTTGGGGGCCGTCCCCGCTGGGGCCCCGGCGCCCGTCTTGGGCCCCGCCTTCGGCTGGGGCCCAGCCCCCGCCTTGGGCCTGTCATCACCCAGCGCCGAGGGCCGGGGCTCGCCCATTTCCTCGCCCCCTCCCGCCTTCGGCGGTCTCTTCGTAAGGTGGGCGTTCAGCTGCCCATTGAGGAGGCGCGCGAGCGCGGCCTTACGCCGGGGCACAACTACCTGCTGGTAGTAGGCATTCGGATCCCCGAGGTCGAACGTTCGGGGCAGGTCGTAGCCGTTCTCCGGCATGAGCAGGATGTGCTTGATGTCCTCCCTCCTTGGGTTCTCGGTGTCGAGCTCCCGGCAGAGCCGACGTCTGAGCTCCCGTAGCTCCTCGACCCAGGTGCTCCGGAGCTCTTCCCACAGATCCTTGACCCAATGGTCTGGGAACTCCGAGGGGTCCCTCTCGAAGGCCGCCTCCAAGAAACCTAGCGACCGCCGACGCTCTGCCCCGTGTGCTACTCCCACGATGGACTCGAACATCTGGATCTCGCACCTGGCCCTCTTGAACCAGGTCGCCATGTGGGTGGCAGGCCGTTGGTGGGGCTCCAGTTTGTCGTCCACAGGGAGCCTGTAGCCGTCGAAGTCCTCGTCACGCGCTGGGACGCAGTCGTCCACCGCCAGGTCGTGTGGACCCGTCCCGAAGGCGAGTGCCGCGCAGCCGTGCGCCACGCGGTTGGTAACCAGGCAAGGGAACCCGATCGTCTTGAGCGTGCTCTTGGAGTGCGCAAACATGCGCTTGAGGGAGTCGAACAGATCCTTCCCCGTGATTCCCTCGCAGGCCTCAACCACGAAGGTGTTGCATCCCCTGGCTATGTAGAGGTCCAGTTCCTCATCTCGACCGATCCCCGCCCGGGTGCCCCGGGCCTTCTTGTCGCCCTCGGTGGCCCGCGCCTGCCGCTCGGCGGCGAGGACGTGGCGTTCGGTGAGGCGGTTCTGGCGATCCAAACGCTCGATGATCTGGGCTTCGGCCTCGGCTGCAATGCCGCCCAGGGCCCCAAGCGCCCCGGCGTCGTCCGGACCACCGGCTCGTTCCCCACCCAGACCACCCCCGTGGGGCGTCTGGCCAATGAGGTGCCCAAGGACCGAGGGTCCGTCGAGGAGCGGATTGGTCCCGCGAGCGGGGCCCCCGCGTCCCTCGCGTGCCAGTAGGTCCCGATCGCCCAGCAAGCCGCGACGCTGGCCCGTGGGTTGGACGGGGGGCACGGCCCCGAAGAGCTCGCGCCGGGGCGCCTGCTTCGGGCTGGGACCCCGTCCCCGCGCCGAGCGGCTCCGCGAGCCCTCGCGTGAGAGGCTGCTCTGCAGGGGAACCTTGTCGCTGGCCGCAGCTCGCTCTCGCGCGCGCGCCCCCAGCTGCGCATCCTCCAAATCCGCGAAGGCGCGCTCCAGATCGGGCCCCAGGGGGCCCGCCGTTGCCACCTGCGCGACTCTCCGTCGCAGCTGTCGGTCCGCCTGATCAAGCGGAATCCCGAGCAGGTCAGCGGTCATACCCAGTGCGCTGAGGGCCGCCGCTTGGCCCCCTCGCCCCTTGAGATCCTCAGCTCGTAAGGTATCCATAAATATCTCGAGGGGATCGGGCTCCTCAGCATCCTCGCTCACGCCGGCGGCGACCGCCGCCAGGCGTGGCGGGGCCGCCACGGGGGCTGGGCGGGGCAGGCCCTCCATCCCGAGCGCAGGTTGCGCCCCCTGCGCGCCGCCCCGCCGGTGGTGGCCGAGCGCGCGCACCGGGTCTTGCTGCAGCTGCTGGCGCTCCGTGCTCGTCAGGTAGCGCCGCCTCCAGCCGCTCGCACTTTCCACGCCCACACCGCCCCACTGCTCCTGGCGTAGCATCGCCAGCAGATCCTGCGGGATGTGGTGGGCGATGACACGCAACCCCACTTCCCGCGCGCCTTGGGGGACCTCGCACAGCAGCCGACTGATCCAATCTATCGGGTAGCGCCCGTCCTCCAGCGGGGGGGGACGCCGCACAACCTCGCTGGCCGGGACCTCCACCCTGACGCCCTCGAGGCCGGTCCCGATGATAAGTCGGGCGTCCCCGCCAGTGCCCCGTACGTCGAGCCCCTCGCATTCTCCCAGTAAATGTACCAAGGACTCGCCGGGGGCGCGCCATACGCATCCTCGGCCCCCCGGGGGTCGCCCGGGAGCATCGGGCAGACCTTCACGAGGATGGGCTCCTGAAGCCACCCGTGATGGGCGATCCGATCGCCCGGGGCTCCGCGGTCGGCGGACCGCGAGCGCTCGCTGGCCCTCGCTTCCGCGGAGCGCGATCGACGCGGCTGCGGTCCAGAGGCTAGAGTCTGTACCCTCGCGGGCTCAGCATCGACGGATGGGGCCACTGCGGGGGGTGGTGGTGCAGCGGGCGGGGGGTAGACCGACCCGGGCGCTACGCCTACCCCATTGGCGGCGCGCGCGGTCCAATCGCGCGCCTTGGCGGGGCTCGGTGCCCGCACTCTCATACGACGGCGCAGACCCCCGAGGATCCCTGGTTGGACCGTCGCCTCGACGCGCACGGCGTGGCCCTCATCCCGTCGGAGATGTTCCCCGCACATCGGGCCCCCCCCACAGCTACCCTTCGCCATGCGGAGGCAAGTGGGAAGGCTGCATTTGCGGCCGATCAGGGTAGACCGATACTTCTGCGCATGGTGGGCGCAGAGATGCACCTGTGCATTGAGACAATGCCCCGGCCGTGGGACATCCGACACCTCTGCATCCTCCTGAAGCAGAACAGTCGCCTCCTGCATCCCTCGGTCGCCGCACCCCTCCGGCTGGAGGGGGCGTGCGCCGCCTGCGAGCTGCACGCCAACTTGTGCGGCCTAGCAGGGGCGCTCCTCAGCCTCCACCTCGCTCTCCGAATCGATGTCTAGGCGGCGGTAACCCGTGGCGTCGGTGATGTAGCGGGGCTCCGGCCGGGCCCCGCACAGCCATCCATGCACCGACCAGGGCAGGCAGAGCAGCCACTTGATGACCCCGAATACCTTCCGGAGCCCCACGCCGACCGCCCGGCAGGCTGCGGCCTTACCGTGCTCAGCCAAGTCCACGATCTGTGTGTGGTCAATGGCTGCGTACTGGTCGACACGCATGGGGTGTGCCACCGGGCATGAGGCGCACTCGACGGCACGGCATAGATGCACGTTGCCTGTCTCCTCGAGGTTCAGCCGCCACTTGCGACTGGTGCACCCCAGAACCTGCCCGATCTTGATGTTGAGTCCGTGGCGGTCCAGTCGATACCGGTCCGCGAAGTTACAGCTGACACGGGCCACCTGCCCGTGCTTGCGCAGGAGCACGTGGTTGTACGCCCGATTGGTTCCCCGGCCGCGGACCCCCTCTGTGTAGAACTCCGTTCCCACCACGCCGCCCAAGCCCGGCCCGCGCCAGCGCACCAGCAGGGGAGTCGGGGGGGGTTGGGGGAGATGGGCGCCGGGCCCATCGCCTCCGCGCCGCTGGCAGCACCGGGTAATCTGGTACCACGCCCAGCGGAGTCCCCCGGCTGCCCACAGCATAGGCTGGGCTGCGGTGTTGACGAGGAAGGCCAGGGCACCCAGCACGAACGTGAAGATGCCCAGGGCGAAGCAAAGGACCGCGGTCTCCCACCAGTACCCGAGCATTTTAACGCCCAGCCGATCGATGGCGGATCCCACCCAGCCACCGCTGGTGCGGATCGTGCCAGTGTGGTCGGGAGAGCTCACCCACGCACCATAGCCCACGAACTCGCTCGAAGACCCAAGCTGCGAATCCCCAACCTGGACCTGGCCCCGCCTCCGGGGGTGGGGTAGGTGGCGGTGGTGGCGGAGGGGGTGCACTCCGGCCGGCCCACCAATGGGGCAGGTGCGGGACCCAGCCGCTCCACCCCCAGTACCCGTCCGGCCCGCGCGGCTGGTCAGGCTCGCCATCGCCCGTCCGGTTCTCCGGGGCGGATGGCTGCCCAGGCGCGCCCATGGGCTCGTCGCTCTCTTCAAATGCCGGCGTAGCCGGGCTGCCTGTGGGCTCGCCCTTGTCTACGCGCCCAATGCCCGCAGGTGTGGTCGTTGTAATCGACCCTGCCCGCGGCGGCGCGGGGGCGCCTGGCACCCCTGGGGGCTTGGCCTGCGGCCCTCGCCCCTTTCCCCCTGCAGGCGCAGGCTTGGCGGGCGGTCCTCGCCCCTTGCCTTGCCCTCCACCGCCTGTCGGCAGGGCTGTCGGCCCGGGCAGGGCTGGCTGCGTCGGCGCTGGGACCTCATTCCCCGCGCGCCCGAATGGCAGCCAGCTCAGTGCCCCTTGGACCGCGAAGGCACCGCCCATAACCAGGATCATCAGGTGTGCTCCAAGGAAGCCCACAGCCATGGCACCACAGCAGCGCTCCCTAGTCCGCGGACTAGCACGGCTGTGGCTATGGCCGCCCCGCGGCCCCCCGGAACACCCGCGCGCCGGCCTGAGCCGAACGCTACGGACCCAAAATGGCTACCTGAGCCCACACCCCCTCCCACTTAACCTGCAGTCTACAACCAATCAGACTATACAACCCCCCGTTCCCCAAACGTCTCCTCCCGACGCGACGACGACGACGACGACGACGACGACGAGGACGACGACGACGACGACGACGACGACGAGGACGACGCCGACGACGCCGCCGCCGACGACGACGACGACGACGACGACGACGACGACGACGACGACGGCGACGACGACGACGACGACGACGACGACGACGACGATCCCTGGCGGGCTCCCGTGCCTGGCCTCAGGGGGCCCCGCGGCGGGCCGGCAGAAGACGTCGGCCCAGGACTCGGCGGGCCCGCCGCCGTCGCCTCGGGCGCCCCTCCGAAAGCCCCCCGCCGCGGGCAGGGCGGCCCAGCTCTGCCCGCCCCGACTCCTCCTCCTCCTCTCCTCCTCCTCCTCCTCCTCCTCCTCCTATCCTCCTCCTCCTCCTCCTCCTCCTCCTCCTCCTCCTCCTCCTCCTCCTCCTCCTCTCCTCCCTCCTCCTCCTCTCCTCCTCCTCTCCCTCCTCCTCCTCCTCCTCCTCCTCCCTCCTCCTCCTCTCCTCCTCACTCACTCTCCTCCTCCTCCTCCTCATTCCTCCTCCTCCTCCTCATCATCATCCTCCTCCTCCTCCGTAGGCGGGGCGGCGACACCACCCCGCCTACGGCCCCACGGGCTCTAGCACATGTTACGACTTCCGGCTTGGGCTTCTGGCGCGGTATACGCCACGGCGCCCCATGGATCATCAGAATCTCAATTTGTCTCGCCGATTACCCATCGTCTTCGCGTGGAGTCCCGACGCTGCTTCACGGCGGCGCCAAGGCCTCATGATTTCGCTCTTGCATTGCCCATTATCCGAGAGAGGGGGCTGGCGGCAGGGGGCGAAGCCCTTACGGATAAGTGCATCGCAAAATCCAGAATCGGTCGGGCAAGGATATCTGCCGTTGTCTTCCGTTGCCTCCCGTTGCCTCCCGTTGGCTCCCGTTGCCTACCGTCGTCTCCTATTGCTTCCCGCTGTCTCCCGTGGCCTCCTGCTACGTCCCGTTGCCAGCCGTGTCCTTCCGGTGCCCTATAACCCTATCCCTATCCTGCTGCCCTCTCCCTATCCCACCATCCCCATCCCGATCACTATCCCCGTCTCTACCGATGCAACCCTAACCCACACATCCCTAGCCCTAGATCCATATTCCAACCCCTATCCATTCCACTGTCCCTATCCCTATCCCGGCCTCCCCTCGTGGCCCCCCCTTCCTCGTGACCCCCCACCGTGGCACCCCTCGCAACTGTGTATAGAGCTGTTTCGGGCCTTCTGCCGCGAGGGTGCCGCTGATGGCCCTCGGGGCCCAGCATTCGAGAAACCGCCGGCTGCAACAGCCACGTACCGTCGGAGATCTGGGTCCTCCGGGGGACTTACGGTATATACAAACAACCCATGTGATAAGGATGCGCGATGAGGATGCAACGGCCTTGGACGCCCATTTCGAAGCTTTTCGAGCGGGGCGCGGCCAACGATAGTGACCAAGGATGGACCGAGGAGGCAAGGATGCAAGGGTACCCTTGGGAAAGTTGCCCATTCGGGGATGGACAGACCTCCCTTTAGTAAAACGTGGTTTAGTGAAAACGACCTGAGGCCCAAACCTGGCGGGCGCAGGCCTGGAAAATAACGGCCACGGCGCCCTCTCGAGAACCGAAAATGGACAATTCACTAATCGACGTGTCACTTACTATGCGGGTTGACTGTAACTCGGGCCTCCGGCGGCCGTTGGGGACGATCCGGGCACCCCTGGAGCGCCCGCGACGAGGCGCAGCGGCTGGACAGCCTCCCGAGGCGAGAAGCCCTCCAAGAACCAGCGAAGGCCATCAGCCCCCCGGGGCCAGCATCGAGGAAAAGCGCCGCCCCCGCCACAGGGGAGGGGGCCGAGGCCAGTCGCCGCGGTCGTCGCCGCCGCCGCCATCCGCGCCCCCGTCGCCGCCAAGGGAGACCTGGGCCGTCCTGGTCGTCGATCTTGGGCCTGGACCCCCCCCCCTCCCAGGGTGGGGGTACTTCTTTTTTTTTTTAAGCCGCGGGCGGAAGCGCCAGCGGCGGCGAGTAACGGTCGGGCTGCGGCCGAAACTAACCAGGGTGGGGGTACACGAAGCGTGAACATTCCCTCCTCTCTCCTCTCTCTCTCCTCTCTCCTCCCTCCTCCTCCCCCTCCCTTCTCATCATCCTCCCCCCCCTCCTCCTACTCCTCTCCTCATCCCCGGCCCCCCCAGGGGAGGATGCCCCCGAGGCCAGCGCCGCAGCCGCCGCCCAGGTCGCAGTCCTCGCCCTGCTGCGCCCCGGCCGCCGCGCCCGCGCCCAGCTCGCCACCGCGGGCCGCATCGCCGTGGATGCCTTCGACGTCGGCGGCCATGCGGCGCCTGGTCGGATCGGCGGCGGGCCCGGGGGAGGGGCGTCTCGAGCCCAAGGGAGCGAGCCCAGGGGTCGGGCAGGGGATCGGCAGCAGAAGCGAGGTGCCCCGAGATTGTTTTTTTGGGCCCGTCGGATCTACAGGTCAAAAACTTACAATGCTCCGTCGACGCATGTGTTTTTTCCACGTGCTTTTGCTCATGGGCTCGGCGGGAAATCAAGTCAGGGGCAAATCACTCGTGTAGTCGATCCCCTACTCGAAACGGGAAGGCTTCGACCGCAGGCGTGATGACGAAGATGATGGTGATGGTGATGAGGACAAGAGGGGGCGCGAGGAGAGGTGCGAAAGCTGCATGGGAACCCCACTTCGGATGTGGAGGAAATATATGCCCAGACGCAGCATCCGGAGAAAAAAACAAAGAATACTCATGTTTTGACACTACTGCGGCCAACAGCAAGGAAAACCCAAGGAATTGAGCTCACTTTCTTTCCAGAACCCCGAGAGGCTGTCGCCCCCTAGCAGGCGAAAAGCGGCCTCACGATCGCGCTGCACCGCTCGATCGCGGCCGCTTCTGGGCCCACGGCGCCGTTCAACCTCTTGATCACCCGTGCCAAACCGCCGCCGGGTCGACACGGCACGAACAAGCCATGGTGGCGCGCCGAGGGGGGGGGAGCTTCGAAGCTCGAGAGGGTTTCGGGCAACTTCGTTGTCTGAGTTTTCCAGCCTCGGGATGCGTTCCAGCGGCTGCGCCTCGCCGAGGGCGTTTCGGGGGTGCTAAGATCGTCCCGAACGTACGAGGCGGGGATACGTTCATATCCACCGCCTGTGGAACCGACGTCTTGGGCCCCCAACGGGCGGCGGACATGAATGTATTCCTGCCCCAGGGGCCCCGAAGATATCCATATCCACCGCCTGCCGAACACGTCATGGAAAATCATGGCGTCGGGGGTTTGCGAAGTGAGAAGGCGTGACTTCCCAGACGGCACAGAAGACCTTGTGGATTGTCCGGGAGTGGCTGTATGGATACAAAGGGACACGAGGTACATATAGGGGGACACATGCTAGAAAAGAGCACGT